ACCTATAAGAAAAATAAGCGGAGCAAGCTGTCATTTTCTCACAAGGCTTCCCTGACCCTTCATCCTGACTACCATTTCAGGTACGTGCTCCTAACCTCACTCCGCCACTGCTACACCTCTACCCACTTGTTTTCTGTGATGTTCACCGAATAGTTAATCATTGATATTCTTGTGACATAGCCTTGTGGGTATGTGGATCCTTTCTACTTCAATTAAATTCTAAGTCCTCAAAATAAGCAAGGACCAGGTTTTCTGACTTTTGCAAACCCACCCATTCCCCACTTTATTCTTCCATTTCATAAGAGCAAGCAAAAGTGCATCAGCTAATAAAATAAACATTACCAGTCATAGGAAACCAGACATCGTCCTTTCGAGAAGGACCTTAGAGCTATTTTATGGCAATTTATAGATTATGTGTGTCAAAGGCATAGCTGCTAAACACTATAAAGCCTTAGCCATTAGCTCCACTATTCATCCACCTGGTGATATGGCTAATAAAATTTGATTTTTACAGCCTAGGCATACTGTTACCTAAATTACATTTGACCAATTACTGAAGTAACCAAATGTGTGTCACAGAATATATACTGTGTAGAAGATTCATCTGTGGGCCCCCTGGCACTCTGGTAATCTGACAGAAGTCTTTCAGTCATCTGGCAGTGCTCAATATTAGGAACATTTGTTTAATGCTAGTCACTAATTAAATTTATGCTCTTCCACCAACTGTTAGTTGGTTAGAGAAACCCAACACCACATTTTTAACAAACACTGTCAATTTCACATACAACCAGTTGGAGGTTTAAAAGGTAGTTCTCTGGAAATTTAGATGCTCAGCCCAAAGTTGAAGGTGGGGACACATATTTCAAAAGCGCTTAAATGGGGTCAAGGGAAGTTGCACGGTCGCTAGCATGAACTATTTCAGGAAGCGCAAACCAACTGAAGCATAAACTTAACAAGAAATCCTGATATTTGAATGATTAAAGTAGCCTTCTAGCTCTTTAAAAGTACCTCTATTCCAAAAGAAACCTGCTTTAAGAGGCTGGAGGAGAAAGACAGCATGAAAATTCGCTACACCAGAAGAAAGGCCAAGAAAATATTCAAAATCAGATGCGTGTGTTTGTGAGGACATTTAAATTAATTTAGAGACTAACAACATTGTGATCATGGTTGAGTTAGAACTTCTATTACCAACTCTAGGTGTAACAGCTTTGAAACTCAATGACTAATAAGCCTTAAAATAGCCAAAAGGTTAAAACCATTTTTCATTATACTATATTGCTAAGCACTGATCGTGAATATTTTTTCAGTTTTGTTCTGTGTCAGGAATTTAGAAACTTTTGATAAGCAAAGAGGACACAAAGTGTGGGATCAAGGAATATGGATGGGAAATTCCCAAATATTGAAAAGGGCAGATTTGTAACTGCTGATCTGAAAGGAGAGGGTACTTAAAAGTTGTGTTGGATACAGTGATCTGCTTGAATAGAAAGACTGACTACTAAAATGTGGCAATAGGCCCTTCTTTGAAGAAAGAAAACACAATTTATACAAATCCTCTAACTCTCTTACCGATTGAGTCATTTGATAAATCAAAGCTGTAAAATACATCTGAAAAACAATTCAGAGAGAGAGAGAGAGAGAGAGAGAGAGAGAGAGAGAGAGAGAGAGAGAGAGCGGAGAGAGAGAGAGAGAGAGAGAGAGAGAGAGAGAGAGAGAGAGAGAGAGAGAGAGAGAGAGAGAGAGAGAGAGAGAGAGAGAGAGAGAGAGAGAGAGAGAGAGAGAGAGAGAGAGAGAGAGAGAGAGAGAGAGAGAGAGAGAGACTGCCTTTAGATCTTTTGGTTCCCATTTCTTCCTCTCCTTCTTTCCTTCTCGGACAATCAAGTTCCATCCTTCCACCCTAGGTCCTCCTCTGTTCATATATCTACCTGAAAAGTCCCTCGTAGCAGCCTACACTGCTGAAGGCATGGACAGTCAACTTTCAGTGGACTAACAAAACCAAGTAGAAGTCTGTAAGTGCTAAGCAGGATAATCTCGATTTGAATACTCTGCAAACTAGAGGCAGTATAAACCAACAGGACCAGGGACTGCTCCTGCTCAAAGGAAGCTGATGTAATTTCTAGATTGGAGGTTTCAATTTCTTCTCCATATTGGTGCTTATGAAAAGTTGGGCGGGCCCTCAATGCCCTCGTCTATGTGGTGATTCTAAAAGAAGTGGGATATTCACACCTCTGTATGTAGAGGAATACCCAGTCCCTAGGGAACCACGAACACAACACAGTTCTTCAACAAATGGATGTGGAAGGTAAGATGCAAGAGCACAGGGGCTTGACTTGCCTTCACTGACATTGCACACTGCAAAGTTCCCCAAGGTGAGATGTGATCTCATAGCCCCTTGGACAACAGAGACACATGACTAGTCAACTAGGCAAGGATGCAGTGTGTGTGTGTGTGTGTGTGTGTGTGTGTGTGTGTAAAACTTTTAAGGACATGGCATACCTATAATTCATGTATATCTGTATGTATGTATGTATGTATTGATCAATCTATCATCTCTACCT